GTCAGGAGCGCTCACTGTGCAGAAAAATGTAGGGACCAAAACATCTCCAGACGTTCACTGCACAGCACGCTGAGTAGTGTGAAGAAAACCCTTCAGCTTGAGGGGATCTCAGTCGACTGAGGCGTTTCCGACTGATGAGTCCAACTTTCGGCTCTCAGCAGGCAGCCCTCGTATTTTTTTCCACACAAAAACCAAAGTGTGAAGTTGTGAAAATCTCGATTTTCTCATTGAACTCTCTGCCAGAAAGTGACTGAGTGTTTTTTCCCAGAATGCTGCACTGTGCATTTAAAGCTGACGAATAGATTCATTTACTGCAGCGGCGGCCTGAACTGCTGATTCATGAATGTAAAGACAACATGATGTAATGCGATGAGGGAATCTGAGGCGTCATAACAGCACGGACTAAAAAAAGAAAACTGCATTTCAGCAGAAAATCACAGACACTGAATACACGAGAGCTGCTGCTCGACGTCTCTGCATCAGTCGATAGAAACTGAACATGATGAGACTGACTATAATGCATGACTTTGTGTTGTGATGGGAGGCGTCTCTGTTGATTTGTCCATCCAGCAGAGTTAAACAGGGCCATGTGGGCTGGTGAGTGATTTAGGAAACAGTCAAGATTTCTGAGAACTAACCTTTAGTCTTACCCTCCTCGGGGGGATGTGGAGGAGTGTTCGGTTCACGTTTGTTTCAGTCTCAGTCATTTCACCAGAATCACTTCCAGAACCGTCGCTGATTTTAAAAAAGGCTCTTTTACATGAACTTCCTGTTGCACGTTAGTTTACTGTCGAGGCTCGCTGTTGGTTCAACAGTGTGAGTGTGGTCTCTGGGTGCAGCAGCGTCCTCAGACTGTGGGGAACACTGGACTGTTTTTATGTTTAACTGAAGCAGCAGCGGAGACACGTTGTTCCCTCGCTGGAGACTGCAGCTAAAGAAAACCAGCTGAGCTCAGGGGAGAAGGCCAAGGTGTCTGTGCTGCTGCTGGAGTCGTCTGGAAACAGGAGACGAGAGAGAGGAGGAGAGTATTGAAGTGCGGCCGATGGTGGGTTGGCAGGCGGCCGCTGACTGTGTTGCGAGGCAGGAAGTGTGACACTGAGAGTACAGGAAGTGGCTGCTGTGGAGCTATGCTAACCATTTCATCCAGCAGCTCCAGGGGCTGGGATCAATTCACCCTCCGTTAGATAGAAGCTGGTCTTCATTTTCTAACAGTAAAACATAGCAGAGGGCTTTTCTTTAAAGTTTAGGTTTTATTTGTGTGTGTGTGTGTGTGTGTGTCATGTGAAAGTCTCTTTTTATGTAGAAGAAAATCCTCTTTGTGAGGAGAAACTTGAGCAGAAATCAATGAATTTATTTATTCTTATAACTTATGCAACTTTTTTAGGTGTTTCTTTATTCTTGATGTTGCACTTGAGTCTTTCTCTGCTCTATTTTAAGTTTTAAACCACCCATTGTGTCCAGTGTGTAAGATTTAGGGGGATTTAGTGGCATCTAGTGGTGAGGATTGCAGATTGCAACCAGCTGAAACTCCTGGTTAGTGCACAGTTTGGATTCACTCTTGCAGCCAGTGTTTGGTTTGTCCATAGCTGCTGCAGAACATGGTGGTGCAACATGGTGATCTCCGTAGACGAGGACCAGCTCCCTATGTAGATATAAACGTTCGTTATTCTCGCAGAGTAGTTCATATGATATCCCACGGATAGCGTTACGCTCTTAACGTACAGTTACTTAGCTAACATAAAGGTAAGGAGGGTGGGTTTAGCAGAACAAACATGGTGACGACGTACCTTTTAAAATGACTCAAAGTTCACACAGATCTGAACACGTGACTCCAGGGGAAAGTCCGATTTCTAGGTACCTAGCCTGCCTTCCTTCTTTACTGCCGTCAGCGTCTTGGTCACCTGAACGCAGCCTTAAATATGTGGGATATGTCCAAATTTGGGTGCGTTTCTTGTCGTAGGAAAACATACAAAAAATTTGTGAGAACAGTCTGAAAATTAAATAACAAATAACAACATTTCTTCCGATATATCCCTCTGAATCCTCCACACTGGACCTTTAAGTCACTTTGTACTTAATTCTCAACGCGGCACTGCTCTACTTTAAGCTTGAATTCATCCAGAGTTTTTGAGTTTGTTCCTCTTTTCCCTTCAGTCCAGCCTGATGAGTCAGACATTAACTGTGTATGTTATTGCTGTGTTATATATTTAATTCATGAAGCACTTTGTGAGGCAGGTTTTAATAAGTGCTGCACAAATAATTTCCCCTATTTTCTGTCTCCTCATTTCCTCCCCATCTCGTCTCCTTCACTGTTTGCTGCTGCGTCTTTCTCTTCGCCTGTTACTTCTCCATTGTGGTCATTGGTGCGTGCATGTTGTCACACATAGTCGAAATGATAATCAAACTTTTTCTCACGCTGAAATTCAAAACAAATGATTCAACAATCCTCCTCTGCGCTGACATCTTTATGACATCACAGTCTCTCCTCTGCTTCCTGCTCCCAGGATCGACAGAGGAAGTGCAGCGTGTAGTCAGCCATCAGTCATCACCTCAGACAGATGATGGAGTTTTACAGTGTGTTCCTCTGATGCAACAAATGCACCACTTATCACTACTGATGCTGATGAACCCCTCTCAACTTATAATAACAATATTTCATAAATATTTTCCAGATTTTTTTTTTTGAATGAGGCTTCGGAGCAGCTGTTAAAAGTCAACAAACCAAAAGTTATATCTATGGTGTTCTGGGTCAGATCTACTCACAATGATTTATTGCTGCACGCCGTGTTATTAAAGCCCAGCGTTCTCTGTGGGTCAGATTTTTCTGGTTTTGATGATTTGGTTTGACGAGATTTTCAACAGCAGCATTTTGTTATCATGCAGCACAAACCTGGACCCAGACAGCCCCGACTCTTTAAGTCAAAGCTAAAATGATCCTTTCTTACACCGCCTCCTCCGCCCCATAACGACTGCAGACTTATTTTAAACTCAATTTCAATTCATTCTTTTTATCTCTGCACCTTGTCTGCCAGTCTGCGACACAGCATGCCAGGGTCCCTGCCCCTGCATGTGGCTTTGCATACACTGCATGCGGCCCTGATGCCTGTCCCAGTGGGTGGTGGGCCCACTGGGTGGCAGCTCCATGTTATTCATTCAGACTGAGCCCAACCAGGCCCCATGGCCAGATGCTCGCTGGCTGGCTAGCTCCCCCCCAAGGTCTGGCTCCAGAGGGAGGTGAGGTATGCTTTCCCCAAATGCGCCGTTTCATTGAGGTCTTCATGAACCACTCTTAGTCTGGCCCCTCCCGTGGGACCACTTTGCCTTGGGAGACCCTGGTAGGGGCACCACAGCTCCTGGGATCACAGGGATATGCAAAAAATGAGATGCAATGAGTTTCCTCTGTAGGGTGTCTGGGCTCAGCCTTAGAGATAGGGGGAGGAGTCAGACATCTGGAGGGAGCTCGGAGTAGAGCCGCTGCTCCTTCATTTTGAGGTGGTTCAACATCTGATCAGGATCCTCCTGGGTGTCGCCCATTGGAGGTGTTCTGGGGCACGTCCCACTGGTAGGAGGCCCCGGGGCAGACCCAGAACACACTGGAGGGATTATGTATCTCATCTGGCCTGGGAACTCCTCAGGGTCCTCCAGGAGGAGCTGGAAAGTGTTGCTGGGGAGAGGGACATCTGGGGTGCTTTGCTCGGCCCGCTGCACCAGCCTTGGATAAGCGGTTCAAAGTGGATCGACCTCTTGTCTGCATTTTTGCTAATTTTAATGGTGATTTTTTTTTTTAACACTGTAAATCATTTAAAAATACATTTTACCTTTTTTTTTTTTTATATTTTTTCTCTTTACACCTTTATTGAAATCTGCATCCTTAATCATCATCTTTATGTAAATCACTTTAAATGGCCGTGCTGAACACGAAAAGCTGCTTTGCCTTTAAAAAGGTACAATTTGACTCGAGAACACAGAAAGGCACGTGACTCTTTCTAGCACAAAACAAGAGTTAAAAGAAAATGAAATGACGACAGTGACGACCGTTAACCCCGGAGCTGTTTGGCCTGGTGGATGTCAGCGCCTTCCAAAGTAAATAACATGTTTACTTGAGAAAGGCGTCGTTAGAACTTTGACCTACATACATGAATAAGCTGTGTGGTCTTATCACAGTGAAGTCAACCCTGAGGCAAAATTTCTCTTGAGCACCATGATGAAAATAAAAATCATCATAAAAACAGAGACATTTGACATGGACAACACAGCAGCTTGAAAAACAACCTGTTTGAACTTGTGCAACTCCTGAGTCCAAGACACATTTCAATATGGGGACAGTGCGTCGCATCGTATCATAGAAGGCCTCAAGGAAATTTCTTCAACTTTGGCACGAACAGCCACTTGGACTGAAGTGAATAAACTGATTGGAACTTTGTGGTCAAAGGTCAGTGTGACCTCACAAAATTTGTTTTTTGTCCATACCTCCAGAATTCATTCACTAATTCTGACCAAACTTGACACAAACGTCTAACAGGATAAAATAATGAAGGTCAAAAGGTCAAAGGTCAGCTTGACTGTGACATCATCATGTTTTAACGTCATATCTCAGGAACAGAAGGGGAGACATTTGGTCAGATACTGAATTGGTGACTCTAATCTTGAACCTGTGCTGATTGAACAGACCTTGTGTGTGTGAGAATCTCCACAGGTATCTGAGTGTGGTGGATTTATTTTCCCTCAGCTTGTAAAACCTTGCTGCATTAAGAACCCCAGCAGCACCTTCCTCCTCATCCTCCTCCTCCTCCTCCCCCTCTCGATCAGGTGGGGAACTGAAAAGAGGAAGTGGTGTGTGCTGTGTGTATATAAGGCCTGTGTGTGTTGAAGTGGGACTTCTCTGAATATGAGATGTGACTTTTAGAGGAAGAGGAATCAAGAAGTTGAGCTCGGTGCGCGAGTTCTTTTTATAAAGATTTTTTTCATGCTGCTAACGTTCCGCTTTTGTCTGTTTTCAGCTGTATGTGGCTGCTCTTCACCTTCTGTCTTTTTATGAGGAATGAACTGAGGTGCTTCTTCTACTGCCTTCTCAACGTACTGCTGATTCTTCTATGGACACAGATTGAGTGAGTATATCGAGAGCTTGTCTGCTAAACTTTTTATGCAGTTATTTATAAAGACAGTTATAGTGAAACCGTCTGTATTCCTGCAGTTTGTTAGCGGCCCAGTCCTGTTTGAAACCACCTAAATGAGTTTCCTGTGTGTAACGCTCAAACAGTTGCATGATTAATCGTTTACTTGATTGACAGAAAATGAATCTGCAGCTCTCATGATGACCGATTAATAGTTTACAGTATTTTAAAATGCTATCCTACCTGACAGAAGTTAGACTCTGAGCGTGGAGTGGGCAACGAACTTCCTTCTGAGCACAGTTTCCTCGTTTAAATGTTTAATCACGGCAACGTGAGTTATAAAAAGTCCATAAGAGGACAGTTCTTTAGACTTCAGCTTCATTTTCTCATCAGTATATTGATCCAGTACTGTTTAAAGGAAGACGCACGGATGACGCAGATGGTCCGTGATCGTGCGTCTGATAGGGCTGCAGCTAATTTATTTTCATTGATTGTTATTTTCTCGATCAATCAATCTGTTGTTTTGTCTTTAAAATGTCAGAAAATGGTGGAAAAGCCCAAACAGACGTCCTCAAATGTCCACAGCACAAAGATATTTAGTTTACTGGACCAGAGGAGGAAAGAAACCAGAAAATATTCACAGATAAAGACGTATTTCACTGCTGGAAAGATGCTCTTTGTCTAAACCTGGACTGTGTCTGCAGCAGACAGAAGTTAGCATGCAGTAGACAGATGATAATACTTTTAAATTTGGTGCTAGGTGACTGGAGAAGACTGAGGACATGGACTGTGGCGTTCGCTTTTGCTAACAGCTAACAGAATGCACTGCAACTCACCAGACCAATAAACGCTCCTGCTGCTGTCTGAAAACAATATGGCGGCCCGCTGGTGACAAATAATCTGGCATTGGAGTTAAACAGTAAAATCAGATATGTCTCTGCAAAGGTGAGAAATAGGCAACGGAGAAACAGAATCTTGGTTCGTGTTTGATAACGCTGCTTAGTTTTACTGTTTGATCAGAGTCTGAGAGAGACGAGGGACAGCTCTTCGTCTGGATCCACCTCTAAACTCTTTGTGACAGTGGTGGCCGGGATTCAAAAATCAAAGAGGTCAAAAAAGGAGAAGTCATGATGTCATATCACATCATATCACTGAGGTCTAAGACATGCAGTATAATCTGGTCAGCAGTTGTGGAAAGGCTCAACAGCTGGCACACTGTCATTGAGCATGAGGATGATTGGTTGGTTTCACTGAGGCGTCTGCAGTCACAATGTTTGTAAACATATGGGTGAGAATTACAAATCTGCAGTTACCGAAAAAGTCCAAGATAAAAGACCATAAACAAATGCTTTCTATGTTAAAACCTTCTATTGTATATCGTCCACCATCCAGTTAGTGTACCCAGAAGTTCAGTCAGGCTGAGTGCACCCATGGAGGCTAAAACTAGCTCAGCCAAAGAGCACCTGAGCGAACACCATCCCTTTTACATCCAGTGGACTGACTTTTGCGTTCCCTCACAATATTTTTTTGCGCTACATCGCAATACTTTTGCATTCCCCAGCAATAATGTTTTGGATTCCCACGAGCCACCATTGTCACTTCCTCTTAGATGCCCGCATTGATCGGTGACCAACGTAAATTTGTATAAAGCTGGCAAGATCTCCTTTTAAACTGTAGTGTTGTTATTATTGTCTTTCATGCCGTTGTAAGTTGCTTACTTAATTAGGTTTGGGAACCGGCACCGGTTAGTTAATTAAGTAAGCTACTATATATANNATATTATGTATAGGACTTTGTTGATATTAATTTAGCCTGTTGGGCAGCAGCATAACGTGGTCACACTATCAAGCACGTATCATCTCGTGACATGATCAAACACAGGCTTGACATCAACATAGTACATGTTACCAAGCAATCATCATATCTGACAGAATTATCATAGAAATTAATGATTGAATTTAATAGTTTTTATGGTTTATTTATAGATTGTACAGTTAATGTAGAATTGGGAAAAAAAAGCCATAACAGCGATGAGTTTCTTTTTCAAGAACATATATAGCAAATGTCACTCTTTTTAATCACTCTTATTTTAATTTAGTTATTTATATTTATTCCTATTTCTATGGTGGTATTGTGAATCACTCGTAAGGGCCCACTTTCTCTATGGGCCCCCCACCCTCCCCCAGTGCAACCACACTGCCTGCACTGTCCATAATTACGCCCCTGCTGTTGGGCATGTGACCTAAAATCTATAGCCGTAAACATTTAAATAACAACCAGTGAAAATCTAAAGCACCTGATGAGCGTCAGTGAGCACCAGTGTTCCTGCTGATGGTACTGAGATCACCCAGAAGCATTGAAAGTGAAAGATCACACCCAAAGCAGGCCTTAAAAAATACAGTGAAACACAAAGTGACGGAGGTGGCATCGTGTTTGTTTTGTAGGATTTTACCATCAAGGAGACTCGGACAGTAACAGCAGCGTGTTTATGCAGCATCTGTATAATAAATGTGCGCAGGCGCTTCTTCTAGTCGGCCGAAACTTTGTCCATATTTAAACATGCTTGAGTCACATCTGGTCACGTGGCACATTTATCAAGAGAGGAAACACACACACACACACACACACACACACACACACACACAGGAGACTTGTTTGAAGTAAATCCCTCCAGTTAATAAGACAAACACGGCGAGGCTTCTCTGCAGACGACTTTCATGTGTCAACATTGTGTCACTAAATATATTCGGCATCAGTTTCTTTATTTGAAGAATGTTCAGGAGGTAAAATTAACCTGCTGAGTCGAGGTCTAAAACAACAGCAACAGAGCCACATCTGCTGCCAGATACAGCTGCTGTGCATGTGTGTGTGTGTGTGTGTGTGTGTGTGTGTGAGCAAGTGCATGTGAACACACCACAGGATGTTAGCTTAGCCACTCAGCACTGTTCCTGCACAGCCGACACATTTATTATTACCCTGGGCTGCAGTCAGAGCGTCTACAGTTACCTTTCATCCCCAAACTCGTGTTCACAACTCAGATTTTAAACTTTCTAAAGACGAGCAGCACTTTGGATTTTTCTGATGATCTTCAGAGACACACAGTGATGTAAATATCTTGTTTCTGAATGTCGAATGGCACAAGGTGTGTTTGATTTGTCTGGTGGAACCTAAACGTTTACTGTTGAGCTGTCAGTTTGGGCGGAGTTGGGTGAGAAGTGATGAGAGGTTTTCTCTTAATGATACACCGACTCCCACCCGCCATCACCCTGTCAAAACCACCAACATGTTTCTGCACTGAACTGCAGTCTTTTTAGTGAGCTAGAAGAAGAAGAGGAAGATATGCTTTATTAATCCCCAACGGGAATACATTTTTTTCGCTCTGTTGTCATATACACACACAGGCCCCAAATACACACACATGCACAAACAGGACCTATACATGCATTACATGGAGAGATGTCAGGGTGAGGGGCTGCCCGAGGACAGTTGCCCCGAGCAACCAGCGACCCTGCGGTTCCCAACTGCAGTCCCTGTGGACTGACCTACTGCTGACTTTAGATTTAATAGATAATACTTCCACTTCAGCTGCTGATTTTGAACATTTTTTATTATTAATTTAGTATAACTGATTTTTTCCACTCTTAAAAGTCAGTTTAAGGGAAACTCTGGTATTTTTCAACCTGGACCAAGTGACTAATGGGAACAATGATCATGGACTTTCCACGTCCACATATGATGCCAAGGTACCCTGGGTGTGTTGGTTGTTGACGTCCTCACGTTCTGTGATTGTACCTTTTTTAAAGAACAAAGAGGCGGCATAGTGGTGCAAAATTTCCACCTTGTAGAGGCGGTGTAAAAGCAGCTTTAGACACAAAAATGTGAGAAAACAGCAGTGTTAAGTTTGTAAAGGAAACTGTGAGAAAAATGACTGTGAATGACGCCTTCCCCACGATGAAAGCAGAACAGACCTTGGTAATAAAAACTAACACGAAACCTGTATTTCATTTTTGTTAACGAGACAAGACGAAAATGTTGGTGGATCGGACATTGAAAGCCGAGAGCAGCTGTGCTTGTAATTATCCTCAAATGCCACTTGAGTGTTGGTAAACTCCAGTAAATAGTCTGCACCAGGATGTTTAAAATGTATTGAATTCTCATCGACTAAAACTATGAAGGATAAAAGTGACTAAAATGATGAGGCATTTTCATCTCAACACTGAGACTAACACTAAGATAGCTGCCAGGATTAACCCTGGGAAACAGGGTCCAGGTTGAAAAATACCAGTTACCCTTTAAATACCTCTATAGCCTGATTTGCACAGTGATGGAAAAACCAGGTGTTCACCGGCCTGGTGGACGGATGGTGTTAGGAGTGAACAGAGCTGTGCCAAACTGTCTCTTAACCCACCAGTCAGTGCTCAGTGCAGCAGCTGGAGTCAGTATGACGTCTGTTTTTTTGCTCTTAAAGGGAGCATTTTGTTAGTATGAACGTACATTTTGATTTCCTATCTGCCGTCCCCTCATGGGCCCCCAGTCACCTGTTTATGTTGTCAGTGTTAAAGCTGCCAGAACTATGAGTATAAACTTTAAACAGCCTCCAAACTGAACGCAGTGTGTGAGGTCAGTCTAATCAGCCATGTTTTGAAGTACTGAAGTATCAGAACAGGTTTACTGCTCCAGAGTTAAACGTGTCTGCTGTGTGTGTGTGTGTGTGTGTGTGTGTGTGTGTGTGTGTGTGTGTACTTGTACATGATACATTGTGAGGACCAGAAAACATATTTAGAGTGAGGACGTTTTTGAAAAGTGAGGACACTTTGGTCGGTCCTCACTTCTTCGTAGGCCTGTGTGAGGGTAAAGACTTAGTTTTAGGATTCAGGTTACAGTTAGATTTGGGTTAAGGTCAGGGTTGGGGTTAGGCATTTAGTTGTGATGGATATGGTTATGGTTAGGGACTGTTCTTTACTTATTAGATTTTGGGGGGGGGGGGCTGTTTT